TCTGGGCTAAAGGAATGTGCTCCTCTGCATCAGAGAGTCCAATTGCTTCCCTTGAAGACTCCTCGAGCAATATCGAAGGAGCGGGAGGAGGTACAACAGGCAACTTAGTCGGTTTCTTCGCTCTCTTAGGCTTATCGGTGGCCTTCTTTTTTGCAGGGTGAGAAGGCAGTTTGGCTTTTGGAGGTTTGGAAGCGTCCTTAGCGTTAACCAGCACAGAGATGGTAAGCAGTGGTTGGTCTGCCGGAGAGTTTTGTTTAGAGGCTTCAGCACGCGGTAGGGACAGTGCTGTGAGGGAGATGTTTTCCATATTTGGAGACAGAGTCTTTTCATAAAGGAAAGACCGAAGCCTTTGGCACCTTAGCTTAATCGCTTGCTTTGAAAAACCTTTGCAAGTAATGCAAGACTGATCTTGATGTGATTCTCCAAGACAAAACAAGCATTTATCGTGTCCATCTGATAAGGGAATTTTCTGGGAGCAGATGACACACTGCTTGAAGCCCTGAGGGGCCATAAAAAGAAAAAAGGGGGGGATCCGTTGATCGGGGGGGAAACGCAACAGAACACAAAAAAGTAAGTGAAAAATAGCAAGTTCTGTCTAATAACCGTTAAAAGTAAAATAAATAAGTAAGAAAAAGGGTAGCTAGCTAGCTAAGTACTTAACAGTCAATAGCTCTGCTCTCCCTACGTCCTACAGGAACGGTGGAAAACGAGGAACTGAAAGGAAGATGGAGGAGGCCGGTCTTATATACCCCGCGGGAGTGGGAGCGAACTGACCCTTTTTTCTTAAGCTCTAGAATCTTCCGGACATTCCTGCGCAGGCACAGGATAACCTATTTGTGTGCATTCACAGAAACCACTACGAAGAACCACTATTGGCTAATGTTCTCTCCTCATGGGATAGCATTTTGTGATGCTATTAGAGCATGACAGAGGGGCTTAGAAGACACTTCACACTGTCTGTTTTCTTGAATCTTGATCATGTGAGCAGCCTACAAGGTGGCTGGGTTCCTCGTTACCAGCAAGACTTACTTCTTGGTAAGGGGCTGCACAATCACCTGCTTTCCTCCTTCTGCGTGCCATGTCCTGCCACAGTGGCAATAGCAAAAAGCAAACTCAGGCCAGAAGCAGCAACCAATATTGTTATTTGAAAAGTCAGTGGTCACCATGAACCTGATCACTCTCTTCCCCTTAGACCAGTGGTTCCCAACCTCAAGTAACCCAGGTGTTCTTGGACTGCAACTCCCAGAAGCCCCAGGCAGCACAGCTGGTGGTGAAGGCTTCTGGGAACTGCAGTCCAAGAACACCGGAGTTACCCAAGGTTAGGAACCATTGCCTTAGACTATCCTCATGAAAAATTACCCAGAGAAGAATGTTCAAAAAAGCTCTAAGCATGCTAACAATTAATGAATTCCCTATGTCTCCAGCAAAATAAATGTATCAAAGAGAAATCATTCCAGAGTTCATTCTATCCCGAAACTTCTCAGTGCTTGATAATTATAGCAAGAGAAATCATTCCAGAGTTCATTCTATCTCAAAACTTCTCAGTGCTTGATAATTATAACTATGTGCCATCAAGTCGATTCTAACTTATGGTGCCCCTTGCCAGGACTTCCTGAGAATAAAGCATCCAAAGAGGCTTAGTAGACCCTTCTTCTAGTGGCATTCCAGGACTATGTAACTTACCCATGACTACAAAGGCTGGCTATTCTCCCAGGCAGTACAAGGAGGGGAATGAACTCCAGCCTCCAGCCCACTGAGCTATCCAGCCAGCTTCAAGGTCTAGTGTCAACCTCTTTTTCTTCATAGCCAAAGCCAAAAACTCCAACCACCAACATGAGATTGTAAAAAGAACCGTGATGGATGAGAATAAAGACTTAGCACTACATATTCACATTAGGAAGTCTACATGCATGACATCCTTCCCATCATTTTCCTTCACAACTGGTATACACAACCTAACTACCTTTGATACTGTAATTAACACATAACCATCATGACCAGTAAGTCCTGATAGCCTTATTCTCCATAAATTTGTGCAATTCCCTTTTAAAACTGTTTAAACTGATGACAACCATGGCATGTTGTGTGAGCAAATTCCATCATCTAACTAGATACTATGTTAAAAAATGCTGTTACAACTATTTTGTATCAACATTCAGCTTCAATGGATAACTATAGGATCTTTGTATCGCAAGACTTCTACTTAAGAACGTCTCTACTTAAGAACAATCCAACTTAAGAACAGCTCCATTTGCTAAATTTTGCTTCTACTTGAGAACAGAAATCCAAGATAAGAACAGGAAAAAAAACCTTTCCTGCTCTTTTTTTAACCTTAGGTCATCTTAGATCAAAAAAAATTCTCCCCCTAGTGGTAGAGTACGTATTAACCAGCTTTGCATTAGTTCCTATGGGAACTAATGCTTCAATGTACGAACGCACCTCTACATAACAAAAAAACAGCCAGAACGGATTAATTGGTTTTCAGTCCATTCCTATGGGAAATTTTGCTTCAACTTAAGAACGTTTCAACTTAAGAACACCATTCCAAAACCAATTAAGTTCTTAAGTAGAGGTTCCACTGTAGTTTCTATGGGCGGAAAAGAGCAGATACGGATTAAATGGTTTTCAATGCATTCCTATGGGAAATGCAGATTCAACATAAGAACTTTTCAACTTGAGAACCACCTTCCAATACGGATTAAGTTCTTAAGTAGAGACCCCACTGTATCGCAAGACAGGAACAAAACAATGCCCTACCCTACTGTCTCTGTACCATGTGTAATTGAACACACTTTTACCATACACCCCATTCCTCGCATTTTTCTAAGCTAAACATCCCCAAACATTGTAACCTTTCTTAATATGGAAGTTATTCCAGCTCCTAATCTATTTCAGCTGCTCTCATAGACACCATTCCCCCTCCTCCAGGTGCATTAACCAAACTATATACAATATTCCAGGTATGTGGCACATCTTATGGATAAAGGAAGTATAATAGCATTTTTTCCTTTTTTTCTAATATGTCTAATATAGAATTTGCCTCTTTTTAAAATGCTCTCTATACAACAATGTAAGTGTATATGTGAGTCTAGGATTCTCCTCCATTCTCAGAGTACATCGTTTCACACTTTCTTATACTGAACCCCAACGGCCATATTAACTATTATTATCCAATTTTGGAGAGACCTGCTTGGAACTCTTTGTATTTAGTGTCATCTACAATTGCAGCCTCCTCACTGCTCATCCCTCTTTCCACATCATTTATGAAAAATGTTAAAAAGAACTGTCATCAGTATCAGTACCTTTCAAGTGGATAAAAATAAGACAGATTTAAATCACAATTTAAATGCAAAACATTTTTTATTTAAATCATCAAAAACATCTGATTTTTAATATATATATATATAAATTGTGACTAAAATCAATTTAAGTCAAATCTACCCTGTTTTGAGAGACCACAATGTTTACATTTTTCCACTGTGAGAACTGATACACTTATTCAAACTGACTGCTTTCTGTCCTTTTAATCATTTAATGGGCAGTAATTACTAAAGTAAAGTAAAAATTAAAGTAAAGATTTCTCTTTTTCCCATTAGTGTGAAGATTTCTCGGGGATCTTTTTGTGAAGAAGACTTTTGGACATCCTAGTTCTAAGAAAAAAAATGTTTTAAAAGCCTACCAGCTAACCCCGTCCACATGTCTTGTGTCATGTGCTTTCCTTGACTGACGTGGACTGGTCAGTCTTCAAGTGAAACAACTCCCACCACCCCCAAATGGTAGCACCAGCTGGAAGCGGCATGTATATCCCTGCTGAAGCCTTGGATTTATCAGAGCTGAAAAGAAGGATTGAAAGAAAGGATAAAGGAAGAGAAACTACTTACAGAGTTAATGCAGCCCAGCTCCTTGTTCAAAAGCCAAGGCAAGGAAAGCTTTCCCTCCCCACGGTAGCAAGACTGAATGCGCTCCTTGATCTTGTCTTTGATCTTCTTCAGCGTGAAGAGGCAAAGGACTGACTCCTTCGGTGGTTTGACCCTGTTCTTCTGGCCCTGAGAGAAGACTGTGAATAGGATATCCTCGTGCTCAGAAATGCCCAGTTGCCTAGCCAGTGCCTTCCCAGGCTTACTGAGGTAAGCATCCTGAATCAGGCGGTACTCCATGTTATCTCGAACACAACCAATAGGAAATTCCACATAGGAATAGAACTTGGGGTCATCCACACACAGCCGAACAACCTTGGAAGTGAAAAACTGTTCCCCTGTAGAGTCAGGTGAGGTAAGCTGGGTGTCCAGTTGCAAAGTAAGGTAGTAGACAAACTGCTCACTGCTGAAGCTATAGATGTAGTAGATATCAAACGTGGGGAATTTAGAGAGGGTGTCGGATGGTATTTTGAGCTGAGAGGAGACAAACTCGTCCTGGTAGACAAAGCCAAACATCTCTGCATTTTCTTCACTGTCCATCAGCTTGCGGCTGGAAAGGGTAGGGAAGTACTCAGACTTGCCATCGATGGGTGTTCCAATGAAGAGCTTGTTTTGCCCATTCTGCACTTCAATGATGACACCCGACATCGTTCCTGACTCATTGACGCTGGAGAGGTAGTGCTCCTTGCGGTGATGGGGCTCACCCAGCTTGAAGAGGTCATCCAAACGCAAGAACTGGCAGATGCCCTGAGAAGCACTGCCACAGGCTATCAGCCGGTTTCCAGAATAATCCACCAGCAGCAACTTGTTGACGTTGTTGGTGCTGACCAGGCCATGTGGACAAGACTGCACACTAGGAGGTGGGTAGCACTTCTCATTGTCATCCACTGGTCCTGTCACATGAGTGCGCATCAATGTGAGATTGTTAGCAAGCTTATAGATCCTGTTGACAGCACCCACATATACTTCCCCAGTTTTGTTATGGACGACCAAGTGCGTCAAACTCCAGTCCGTGACCTGGAAAGTCCTAAAGGGAGAGGAGGACTTCGGAGTACTTTCTATCAGTGGCAGCCAAGCACTTCCCAGAAGCAGCAGGGTCCAGATGTTGACTGACAGATGGTGCTTTAGCCTCAGGAGCCACATGGCAGAAGAGTTATGTCCAGCAAAGACTGTGCATTAACCTAACCACAAAATAAATAAAAGCAAACCAAAGGAAGTGGCAGTAAAGGTGGGTTTCGGTGATCTAATGTCTCCTTGTCTTCCACCACATTCACGACATGATGAATACAGGCATCCTCCTCAACCCTAGAATGAAATACAAAAGAAGCAGGGTTAGTCAAGCACTTGTGCCACTTAGAACATAACAGCACAACAGAATGTCCAAGTTACAAATATCTCTGGAATGCAAGTGGTTCAGATTTCTGAAATATTCAGCTGTCTGGGAGAAGTACTGCATCAAGCTTATTAATCATACTACCTTCTTCCCATTCAAGTACCCAGAATTTCTGAGTTCACCACAGAAAACAGATGCTAATTTTTCTGACATCGGGGGTTGGTTGGTTGTTTTACCATTATTATAAGAGAAAAACAATAAAAATTTCCCCAAAGTTCTGTATTTTTGTGGATACATTAGAGTTAGAAGTTTAAAGCTTCAACTTATAATATACAGGAAACAGCATTACACCTTCACCGCACTTATCAGGAATGGAATGGGGGAAAGAAAAAAAAAAAGGAAAAGGAAAAAGGAAAAAAAATTGAAAAAGGACATCACTGAAGATCTGGAAATAGGTTAAAATTACATCAATGACAGGGATTAGACCTTTCACAACCCCTATTTTAGTACTTTCCAATTGTACCTGGAAGATATGTATTCCTAAATTTCTACGCTATCTAACACAAGATATATATATTACAGTGTTTTCTCAGACAGGGCCGTTGATTGATATTTGATGAAAACTATCTCTGGTGCTGTTCTTTATTTATCTTTCATAATTTTTCCATGAGAATAGCAAACAAGATTTCTTTATAAAAGAATGATGGAATATCTCCTTACATGTTTATGTGAGAGAATAACGGGGGAAATCTATGAAATCTTATCTATTCTTAACAAAAGTCCAGCTGCTTTTAAAAAAATGTAAATGACCTTCAAGTATTGATCATAAAGTGCAATCCTATGCATGGCTATAAGGAAACAATTCCAACTATATTCAGTAGGAACAAATGTATCTAATGTGCAACCTTAGACATTGTGTGAGAGTTTGAGACCTTAGTGGGATGTGTCATGGCCTGCACATCACAGAAGCAAGGATTAGGTTTCAAGAAGATCTTCCTGTTCTCACTAATGTTTCTTGGCTCATACCACAATTACATCTCCAATGTAATCCACTAAGAGCCTGCCAATATTTCTGCCTTTCCTGACAAGCTACAAAAGATGGTTCTTTCAGGCGTTGAGGTTTTGCCTTCCCCCAGGCAGCTGAGTAATCCTACTCTTCTTTATTCTTTTAACACTAGATGGCTGAGAGGCTCATCAGAAGCATCCCGCACACCTCAAAGCCACAGAGTCAGGCTTCCTGGCAAAAGACAGAAACCGAAAAACACATCACCTCAGTTGCCATTATGAGCACTCAAGAGTCTTGCACTATTTTTCTTGATCTGCACCAAAGGCACACTTGCGTATGCCCTGGCTGGTTGCCACATACGTATATTCTGGAGAAGCTCTTGGCTACGCAAGGCCTCACCTGTACAACAAGGTGGGCAACTTGCAGCCTTTCATATACTAATGCACTGCAGCTCCCATGATTTGACTCTGCTGGTTACATTGGCTAAGGCTAGACACTGCAATTCAGCAACAACTAGAAGGCTACTCCTGCTGTAAAGATTTACAGCCAATTACTTTGGCAATGCTTTCAAGAACTAGTCTATGAACTTGTGAGGAAATTGTGAAATCCAACTGATCTTCATAAAGGTCAGATCCTAAAACGCTGCCTGAATTCTGGAAAAACACCCATGTTTTGAATAGCATTAAGCCATCTTGTTTCTTGGAAATGTAACTGGAGATGGTTACATGTGAAGTACTGAACAAAACACAGACCGTGAATGATCTGTCTGCTATTCACGAACAAAGCACACACAAAAAAAAGGTCTAAAACAAGGAGCTTGGGGTCACCTTCGTTGGCTACAGCTATACTGAGGAGTGAGCTTATAAAGCAGCAAGCAATAGCTCCCACTTGTAAAGCTTCCATACACAGAAAGCAAAAGGCCACTCTACTAAGGCCAGTTCTACCCCAAAATGTATTTAATTCTTGCTGTCATGGTGAGGGGAGGGAGTTCAAAACCCTGCTCCCATCATGGGACAGTTGAAGGGAGAGGGGAATGCCATAGAAGGGGGGGGGGAAACCGCTTCAGGGGTTTTTCCTCCTCACACTACCAGCAAACTCACACACTGCAGTGAAAGCACTCATTGCTTTTCACCATTTACCTAATTGGACTTTAATGTGCTGAGTGGTTGGTCATTAATGAGATTTTACTTTTTATAAAGACTGAAAGAGAACACACACAGAGAGGCCATCACAAATGAAGAGAGAAATAAATGGTGACAATTTGGAAAGAGGGAGAGCGGCTGGTGAAGGAGACATTAGTAGAACTGTGGGACTCAACCTCTCGTTCTGGCACAGATTCACCATGATAATCCAAATGATTCACCTCCTCTCTGTGCTTCCGCCTTCCTTTGTAAAACAGCAACAAAACAGTTCTTCAGACCCACAAAAACTCTAGCAATCCCTGCATGACCTAGAATCCCAAAGACATGACCATCTATCTCAGGGGTCTCAAACATGGGAACCGGGGGCCATTTGTGGCCCGCCGGATGATAGTTTGTGGCCCCTGCCTTGCCTGCCCCCCCAAGCGCCCACACATCCTCTGCTGTCAAGTCAAAACAAAGCCTAGCCTCGCTTGCCAGCTCTCTCTCAAGACAGCGCCTCTTGCACCCTCCATCCGGAACTGCAGCCTGCCACCCAGCCCACCTGTCTGCCAGATGGCAGGCTGCAGTTCCAGATGGAGGATGCAGGAGGCGCTGTCTTGGGGGAGAGCTGGCGAGTGAGGTGCGCCGCCGGCCCTTTTCCCCCAGCATCTGAGCCACCACCGAGTGATGCCTGAGAGCGGAGCTCGCTCCCGGCCCATCCTCGAAGAGCGCCCCCAAGCCGCCAACAGCCACTGCCGCCTCTTCCAGGGAAGCAGCTCTCTGGCTCTCTTTCTCTCTTGGCACCCCCAGCACCAGCCCGGCCAGAGGTCGCCTCAGCGCCCGGCGGTGCTTCCTCCTCCTCCTCCTCCTCCTCTTCGTCCTGCTTCAGCTGCTTGGGCTCGCCTCACAAAGTTTGCTCCTCTGTCATGGTGGGGGTAGCCGCTGCTGCTGAGTGCGCCTTTTTTGAGGGGGGCCCTCAGAGGAAGGTTGCCAGACCACCATGTGTGTGTCTTTGTGTGCGTGCTTGTGTGTGCACCTGTAGGGGGCCTACCCCATTCTGTTTAATTCCACGGGTACTAGTGGGGGCTTTTCTCCTTTGGCAAGGAGAATTCTGTGAGGGTCTTTTAAAAATTTAATGTCATGCCCTCCCCCCTCCCCAGCTAGGCGATTGCCGGGGCGCCCTTCCTTCTCCGCTTCTTTGTCCTGCTGCTGCTGGTGGTGGTGGTAGTGAAGAAGGAGCTGGAGGGGTACATGGCAGGCGATGAGGCTGGAAGGGTACATGGCAGGCGATTTCGGTAAAGGAACGGTGTCAATGGTTTCTGAGCTCTGTCAAGTACAGTGGTGCCTCACACAACGATGTTAATTGGTTCCAAAAAAATCAACGTTGTGTGAAACATCGTTCTGTGAAACACCATTCCCATAGGAATGCATTGAAAACCGGTTAATCCGATCCAATTGGAACGGATTGCCGGCTTTAAGTGAAAAAACCCATAGGAAACATCGTTGAGTGAAACAATGTTTCCTCCATTGGAATGTATTGAAGCTGACTCAATACATTTCAATGGCTTTGCGAAGTCCTTTTTCGCTCCTGTAAAAGTACCTTACAATGTTTGGAACAGGTTTTAAATGCTTGCAATCGTTAGCCCACCTCCTGAACCCTATGCAAACTTAATTTAGTGTTGTTCTGAGTCGTCTTTAATTTTTGGTGATTTTTTGAATTTTCTCTCATTGGAATGCATTGGACGGAAAGAGCTTCAAAAGCAGGAAAACGGAGATCAAAGAGCCCTTTCCGATGTCAGTTTTCGCTCATTTAAAAGTGCCTTACAATGTTTGGAACAGGTTTTAAATGCTTGCAATCGTTAGCACCACCTCCTGAACCCTATGCAGAGCTGGACAGGGGAGAAGGATCTTCCAACAAGATGCGGGATAAATGTCCACCATGTAAGTTGTTGGGCTAGTTCACTTGTGACTCTGAGACATCTGGATGTGTGATGTGTCATGAGGTCGAATAGGAAGAGGTACCATGACTAAAGAGAACTCATCTTTAACCTGGCATGTTGGATAATGGCGGTAGTGGAAGCCATGAGCCCGAGAAGATGTTGGGCTTGACGAGCTATTACTAAAGCATGAGGTTGGAGCGGCTGTATAGCCCGTTTCAGTTTGATTATTCTCTCATAAGGGAGAAAGTTCCGGCTTATAGGGAACTGAAGAATGCCCCTATATAGGTGGCTGTCTGTGATGGTTCAAGATGGGATTTGGCATGGTTCACCTTCAGACCAAGATCTTGAAGAATGTTGAGATTAATTTTGGCAGCTCTGATACCATCGTGGTAGGAAGCAGAGACTATCAACCAGTCATCTATATAAAGGAATATAGTGATTCCCTGAAGGTGGAGATAGGCAGCAACTGGTGCCATACACTTGGTAAAGGTCCTCGGTGCCGTGGAGAGTCTGAATGGAAGAGAACAGAACTGGTATGAAATGCCATCGAATTGGAATCAAAGAAATTTGTGATGACTCAGATGGATAGAGATGTGAAAATGTGCATCTTGAAGACAACAATCCAGTCTCCCTGTTAAAGGAGAGGAATGACAGTGTCGAGTGTCAGCATCCTGAAACGTCTAGGCCGAATGAATTTATTGAGGTTTCTAAGGTTGAGGATGGGACGGAGTCCTCTATCTTTTTTCAGTACAGTGAAGTATCCTCCAAGACAGGGAGGATCAGAATTGTTTGTCAATCCGAAACAGCCAAAGCAACAGCATGTGGAGCATTTGGTCCAAACTCCAGGCAGATGCACAGAACAAAGGAAATGTCCCTCATCTAGTATTACGCCCCATTATGACAAT